TTTTTCATAACTTTATTTTGTATACACTATTTTTGGGTATGGGCACATATGTACATTGTTTTATGTAAAAGAAAAGGCATACAATTGAGTCAAGTTCATTGGAAAACCGGACAAACATGAAACGCATGTCGCGCCCATTAGCCTTACCTTGAAATATAAAAAGTACATGTCTTTTGTACTCCAAAAACTCTCGCACGATTACACATCAAGCATCCATTAGCCTTACCTTGAAAACTACACACTCATAGGCAATTAAAGTGAAAACGCATGTCGCGCCCTCCACGATTCCGCTTCGCCCCATAAATTCACGAGATTCCCCATGTTCCATCAACGTCTTCCCATGCGCTTGGATTATTGGAACATTGTATCGACCCCCTTTACACATCAATATTGCTCTGCTAGTATCATTAATTTGGTCTTCAATATGCTCCCTCCAAAAACTCATAGGAATGACCTGCAATAACACAATGCAAATTAACATTTTTTTCCTTCATTGTTCCTCATTCAAGTGCACCGTGAAACGTACCAAACGTGCCCTTTGTATGTGCGTTTTCTTGATATCAACAAAGAAGCGATATTGCGGAGCCCGTTCAACGGAATTACAAGTGAAGACTTTTACTACAAAGTCATACAAAGTTTGACGCTCGAAATACAAAACATAGTCCCCGCGAATATCCTCCGCTCGCACAAAATATTGCCAACCATCATGAAATTGCAATTGATTCCTCACTTTTACCAACCAAACTTCATAACTACGGTGCTCCCTAGTACCTATTGTACAATTTACGGTGACATGATTTTGATACTGGTGGTAGATTGACTCGGGCAATGCCTGTACGAATACCACACGCAATTGAAGTAAACTGTAAATATTAAATATTTAAATTAAAACACAAAAGCATGTGTGATCGATTGGGCAACTACATACCAAGATCGGGCTGCTTGCATCCGTAATAATGGTAACAAATGGGTCAAACATAATTGTCATTCAAAAGTACCTGTAAAAAAATATGAAGTGAAGCCATGTTTCGTACGAACGGGTCAGTCCTACTTCGAAAATAATATATAAGTACCACTTACAAAACATTTAATAAAATTATAAAGTAACAATACGAAATTCTTTGAAAGAATTGTCAATCCTAACATATATATTAACACATGTTTTGAACGAAATGAAGCCATGTTTTGGTATTCTTACTAATATAATTTATTTTTACACACAATAGCAAAATCATAAATTACATATATATACGTTTGTTGTATATTTTTCGATTGCCGGATATGAATATTGTAAAGTACATAAATACATATTACATAAAAAAATGCTCACCTTAAACAAAAAGACAATTTTCAATTTTCATCCAAAAGAACAAAAAAATAAATAAATAAATAAATTTAAACACGGAACTACTGCAACGCTGATATGAATTTAACTTGGATCCATATTTATCATCCATGATTTCTGTTCGAAAAAAATATACACACGGAACTACCTCAACGTTCACGTACAACCTTCGATTCTTGTAGGTCGATGCGGGAACACGGGAAGAATAGCTTGTGATTCTCCACAAGGACTTGAAATTAGGGTTTGGGATATATGTTTTTTATTACTACCAAAGACTCTACCATGTCATTCTATTTATTAGTGGTGGCCCCACACAAAATAAATTTATTTGGGTAACCGAAATAAAAGCAGCCCTCCAACTACAAATTTGATTTTATTTTATTAATAATATTTTTTTTTGGTTGGGTTATCGGAGCAAACCAATTTGCACAAATGACAATGACAAAACCAAGAAAAGAAGAAAAAAAAAATGGAACAGGGCGTTAAAATCGAGGGTTGACCCAGTGGAAAATTGAGAAGGAAACAATCTTGGCTTGCACACAACACATATCCAATTGAACACAATTTTTGTTCTCCTTCTTCATAAATCCACACCCCCATCCGTACAACCGTTGTGAAACGGAAGAAGAAGAAGGATTCATTGTCGTCAGAGGTACGCCCGGCCAACTCACAGTCATATGTCTCTATTTCATGTGTTATT